CAGGGAGAATTGGAGCATATCAACAAGGGGAGTATTAGGAGCTTCCTTCATTAGGTGGAGGGGAGGGGAGGCCTAAGGGCATCCAGGGGGCTTTCTCCTAAAGAGGTGAAACAGGGAGCTGTATGCAGACAGCCAGATTGCACTCCCCGAAAATGTTAAAACCAAAAACAAGAACTTGGGTCATCATTTAAAAGATGATTCAGAAGCCCATCAAGTGCTCTGAATTTTTTTCTCCTCTCCTATGAATTCTCTGCTCACATGAGGAGCTCAGAAAACATTCCTGAGTCTCAAATCCACTCTTTAATAATGTTCCATTGAGGTTAAAAATCACTCCTGACAAGGCGGCCGAGACCCACACGCTTTTCATCTGCACCCCGGGAAGAGAGCGAAGCTGGGAAGCAGATCAGGGTCAGCCGTGGATTCCAACCTCCTGGCTTCGCTTGGAATGAGATCAGAAGGGGAGATGGTTTCTTTGATCCAGGCTCTTTTGTGATTAAATTTCACCTTAAGGTTTTCTTCCAAATACTGTCCAGGTAAACAACCCATCTTCATGTACCGTTGAGGCTGCAAACTGCCACCAGACCCCCGAAAGGAGCCCAGCCCTAATTACAGCACAAGGGTGTCCTCGGTCTCGTCTTTAATGAGGCTCATGTGTGATCCAGACCATAGTGTGTGATGAGGACCCGGTTAAAGTTGGGAGGCCAAGCAAAGGAAAAGACTCTTAACCAGCAAAGTATGTAAATACGGCCAAGGCTGTTCATTAACACATAGCGGCCAATATAAACTACTTTCCAAAATTAGCTGGAGAAATCTGTGCTAAGTTTGACATTCCAGTGATGCTGCGGGGGCAGGGTGGGAAGGCTGTTGTACTTGTTGCCATAGCGCTGGGACGGAGATCCTGGAGTTCACAGTATTAGCTGAAAGCCTAACGGGGGGACCACAATGTGGCTCAGAGACCCTGGGAGCACAAAGACGCTGGATGAATGAACAGGTAGAGTTAGGGCTCGAACTGAGACCAAGATCACTTCCCAGGGCTTCCCTTTGTTTGGTGCCTTACGTGGCCTCCACCCCGTGCGGTCCACGGACACCCAAGAGAAAAAGGCTGCAATGAAGCCTTTCTCCCAGTCTCAGCCAGGATCTCCATCCCAAAGTTGAATAGTTTCTCCACAGTCTCTGAACTTTAGACCTGGCAGGGCAACTCCCACGGACTGGGTGGGTATTTGTAGCCTTTGTCTCTCACATCCAGACGGAGATCTCCTCCCAAGACAGGCAGAGAGCAAGGAAAACCAAAACAAATGCCAAACAACTGGAAAGAGAAGGGAGGACAGAAGCAAATGGAAAACTTCACATTTCAATCATGATTAAGGCCGGACGGGGTCTCACGATAACGCAAAATATGCAAACCTCGGAAGTGCCGCTGTACAGCCCCTCGGTAGCCTGGAGACTGATCAAATACCATCTGCTGTGGCAGTTGTCATGGCAGCATTTTTCCCTGAATACCAGTGAAGCTGAGTGCAAAGCACATGGAAATGACGGATGCAAATGAAGACCGGCTCTGCTGGCGCCGCCGCAGCCCAG